TGTGAAGCTATTTATTGTCATACCATTAGGAGATCTCTGCCCATTCTCTGTTCATGTTTTCACACTTCCTCTCTGTTCTCTTCTGTTCTTGAACTTCAATTTATCTTAAGAAGGGGGAACTCACCCCGGACATCACAAGGTCTCCAGGCAGAGATCCACTGATCGCTTCTGCTGACCCAGTCTGATTGTGTTCCTGGACAGCGAGTTTCCTTTTCTTTTTGCCCTTTACCCAATTCGTTGTCCAGACTGCGTGGTGGGGGGCAGCACCCTTCCCACAGGACACGACCTGGGGACTCAGTGAGTGCAGACTTTTCTTTCCTACACTTCCCAACGTAAATTGGAGGATGTATAGTGAAGCAGCCTTAGCTCTAATTAGCCCCATTTGGAGTCCCTTTAGACCACATTATGTCTGTGGATGTGCAGAGGTGAAGTTTCTCTTCTCCTTTGGGTACTTCCTTATTTCTCTTTCCATTCCTATTCTTTGCTGCTCCCCACTGTGGTTTAAACTGTCAAAGGATGGGGTGTGGACAAGAGCACTGCCCACGGGGGAGCAGAACTTTCTTCTTCCAGGATGCCATCACAAAGGGCACTGCTAACAACGCTTGCTTTGGGTAGAATTCCTTTCTGTATGTGAGCCCTTAGCACCTTGTGAGGGGGGCAACATGGAAAGGATGATTGAGGCCATTGAGACCAAACTTAGAAGTCGTTTTCTGGGTCAGAATTTTTGTGACTAATGACTCATATGTATCTGTCACTTTTGTTTTGGAGAATTTTTCATTTTATCTAAGGAAATGTTAGCCTATGGTGGGAAGACTGCTTATCTCTCCCTGATCTCAAGTCATTGTCGTTTAGAATGGTGAGTTCTTCAAAATTATGCCCCCTCTGTGACATCCTGCCTGCCATACTGGCAGGAGACTCAAAGGCCACTTCATCTGCAGGTCTACCCGCCTAAGGGTGGTCCTGTCTCACCCAGAGACATTACCTGAACATTTTCAAGAAATCCAGTTCCATAGATTTCTACCATCTAGCATCCATTCATAACTCTGTATTGTAGTAAAATAGGAAGCTGTTACTTCCTGGTGATATGAAAGCTTGGTGGGAGAAACTTAGGGCAGATATTGTCCTGGATTCCTATGATATAATCCAGCCGTATACATTAATATAGACCTATACTCTATACCTTAGGCTAAGATAGAAGGAAGTCAAGATGTGAGTGATTTAGAGTTGAAAGTTGATCTAAAGTAGAAAGGACAGTCAGTAGAATAGAGTTGGTTGCATTCATTCCAGGAGAAAAGAGAAGGAAAAGGACCTAGGTCTTCCCTTCAACCTCTTCCATTTTCAGATCATTGGCTGGAATACAACCAGTTGTAATGGAGGCTGGGTAATTGGGAGATACAATTTTTATTCCAGGTAGTAATATGCTTAGCTAAATATTGAGAGTTCTTTCCCATCATTGTGATTGGGATGGGTATTGGCCCATAACTATCAGCTAACTAAATAAAAGTGGAGATGCATAGTCCACTGTTCCAGTGGCAAAGCTCTGCCATAAATCGAGGATTATAATCAGTCCACTTCTATGTATGGCATCCTTTAGTTGCCTTTGTGTGTGCTGTATCGTATGATGTGTTTGCATGTCAACAACAGACAAAAAACAGTTCGATTTGGATGTATGTCCATCTTCTTCTCCTTCTCTTTCTCCTTCTTATTCGATGCTGGGGATCAAAGCCACAGCTGTGCACATGTCAAGCACGTGCCCTAGTGCTGAGCCACACCCCCATCCAACTTTCAATTTATGAAGTGCTTTTACAAAACCATAACAACTCTCTTAAGTATCTCATTGATCTAAAGCAGAAAGGACAGCCAGCAGAATAGAGTTGGTTGCATTCATTCCAGGAGAAAAGAGAAGGTAAAGGATCTATATCTTCCCTTCAAGTTATGGACCAATACTTCACAGCTGAGATCTTGGTGGTTGTTTTTTAGTACCAGGGATCAAACATAGGACCATGCACTTGCCAGGTAGGCATTTATGCCCCCGAGCTATCTCCCTGGCCAAGAGCTTGGTGTTATACAAATAGGACTTTGGATTTCTTCAGACCTGTAGGAACACACTTACTTTCTCCTTATAATATCACTACAAGGTAGGCAGGCCAGATATTATTATTTGTATTTTACAGATAAGAAAGAAGGAACTGAGGGGTGAGGGGCTTTGGTGAGGTCACTCAACTAGCCAAAACAGGCAAAGAATTTAAGACTCCAAATCTCATGCCTCACACAGCTTCCTTTGGCTCATTGATTCCTCAGTTGTTCCTTTATCAGGCATTTGTATTGTCACACGGCAGGAATACCATGCTTCTGTGTGGTGTCCATACATGAGTGTGTGCTGGATGCTGTGTATGCAATTTCTGCCTACTGAGTACACTTCCTTTGGCTCTTTGTGGATCCCCTGGGCTGGTTCTGCCCTGTGGCCCCAGGAGGAATCTCTAGCTGGGTCCTTTGTTCCTGCACCTTCCCAGATAGAAAGGTGTTTATTTATTTATTTGATAGAAAGTCTCACTATGCATCTCCGACTGGTTGTGATCCTCCTGTCTCAGCCTCCCCAGCACTGGGATTACAGGCATGTACCACCAAGCCCGGTTTCGGTGGCAAGCTCTGCATGCCCGGAGGAGGTGCATCATGCGATACAGTACACATCATGGCATGTGGAACCGGGGATCGAATCCAGGTCTTTGCACTTGCCAGGCTGGCACTTAAGACCACTGAGCTATCTTCCCAGAAAAGTGTTTTTGATGTCAGAGACAGTTCCCCAGGTAGTGGACACAGAACAGAGGAGCATACTAGTAATGTCTGAGGAATGGTGATATTTAATAGCTCATGAGAACAGTTCATGATTCATGAAGGGGTCTCAAATACTAACTCATCTGATTCTTGCTTAGGCTTCAAAGAAGATTTTATTGTTCTAGTTCTTTTTAGATACACAGAAAAGGTAAGTGGCTCTCTTGTTCACTCAAGATAACTCAGAGACTTGGATTCTGCTCATTTGTCACTAGAAGGCTCTAGAAGGAGATTTCTTCTTCTTCCTCATCCTTGTGCTCCTTCCTCAGTCCTTGATTATCTTTGTGCTTCCAGGAGTGGACAGTAGCAATGCTACAGAGGCAGAGCTGATGGTGATTTCCATTCCCTGTAGCCCTAGGTAGTGTCTCTATCTTTTAAGTGTCAGGGGAATCCCAGAGCAGCCTCATGGCCTCCATCCTCTCCTCTTGCCCAGGAGGAAGTGAATCCCTCTGCCTTCTGCTCCCAGGCCTGTTCTGTCTGCATTTCTGAGTTCTCCTACCTGTCTATCGTCTCCCCAGACTAACACTGTCCACCACCTCAGGGTTGAGCATGACACCTTGTACACAATCAGCACTAAATAAGTGCTGCTTGAAAACACAAGTATTCTCATCAGGAGAGCCCTGCCTGCACCTGAGACAGACACCCCCCATCCCATTCCTGCCTCCCAGGTGGCACAAGCTTCTGGTAAGAGGAAGGAGGAGGAAACACTAGCTCTTGTGCCTGGTCCACCTGGGCATGTCCCCAAGGAACCCTTTCTCAGGAGTTTTGTGGGGACCTGTGTCCAATAATTTGGCTGTATCCATAATTAAGCTGAGGTTTTGCCTCGCACATTTTGTTCCGTTGTCTTCTGTCTTAACTGCTCCACTAGCTGGAGTGAGGAGGAGGCCAGCAGGAATGTATTTAGTGCCACCTGAGATCCTTCCCCGACCTAGTCTACGCCATGTCTAACAGACCTTGGTGCTGCATCTTCTCCAAAGTCATTGGCCTAACCCGAGCTAGAACTAGGCTTCCTTACAAGTACTCATTTCTCCTATGACTGCAGGGTCAGGGACCAACATTTCCATCCTGGGAGCTAGAGTCCTTCTCCCTCCTTTCCCCTCTGCCATGTCTCTCTGGGGATTTTGTCCAGAACCCTAGGAAAAGGCTTAGCTCCCCTAGAGACAGGTGCCAGCCTCAGCACGGTTGGCACAGCAAGTCAATGGGAAGGGGTGGGGATGGAGGCAGCCTCCCTCTGAATGCATACTGTTCCCACCCTGGGTCCTTCTGCACTTATTTACCTAATAATATATTCAGGGGTCTTAATTACTAAAATGTCCTCATAACAAATCTTAACTAGAAAATCTAGGAGTTTCTGAGAAAAGACCTGTAAGACTCACAGGACGATGTCAAAGACATACTTTACAGACCTTTGTTCTAATCAGTGGTCCCAGACTCCAACTCCCAGCGGGGTCTCCTTTTTTGGGGGGGTCTCCTTTAGTGGGCACTGCTAAGATCCAGACAACTGGGCAGCAGCAGCAGCCTTTCTAGCTGAATTACTTACGCCTCCTCCTTCCCTCTGTGCGGCCCTAGAGAAGGACCAGGATTTCTCCGTCCCCTCGCCCTGTCCTCCAGGGCCCAAGCCCTCAGCGTCCAGTCCACCGAGTCCACACCTCTACTCGGCCTCCCCTTTAAGGGCCGCCCCGCCCCGCCCCGCCCCGCCCCGCCCACAGGCCCGCCCCCGTGACCCTCCCCTTTAAGGACGGGCCCCGGACGCAGACGAGCCTGTGACGCGGCCGCCGGCCCGGGCTCGGTACTTTGTCGCGGCCGCTTCCCCCCGG